GGCTTTAATGTCTTTCTTTAAGCATATACGTCTATGCAGCTGGACTAATTTAATGTATTCGTTTCCAAACAACTCCCATGAATACCATAGAACATTCTACTCTATTTTGTGAACCTCAGAGGAAAAAAAAAGCTCCCATCTGTTCATAAATAACGGAAAAAATTATTTTGATACTAAAGATTAAATGACCTATGGTGCCATTGGTATTTTTATCCCCATTGTTTTATATTATATTGCTGAATTTCATCAGGACTATAATCTAACCTTGGGTCTATCAGAAACCTGGAACTAGAAACTACTCTCTAAAATTTTGATTTGGAATTTATGGTGTGAATCTTTAGAAATCTTTAGAAAGTTCACTGTTATTATTTTTTCCTATGTGTAGAATTTGAATTAATCCCTATTAAAATCTATTCACATAACATGAAAAGTGCAATGAGCACAAGGACAGAAAGTTGGATAATTTTATACAAGGTATACAGTACTCTTTGACTTAGAAATGGAAATGTAAGAAGTAAGAAAAGGAAGATGATGAAGACATTGCCTTAAATATGCATTTTATTTAAAATGTTTTATTTTTGTTTGCTTGTTTGTTTTTCCAAAAATAAATAGCTTAATTGGGAAGAGGAGGAGCTCATTATCAGAACTGTGGGAAGATGGAATAAAGAGGTATAGCCCCATGGCAAGACAAGCAGCAAATAAATTTAACAAATAAGACAAATAAATACAAGAGACTTCTAAAAAAAGTTTGAGAACGTAATAGGAAACATATTTATTTTAATTTTATGTATGTATGTACAAAGGAAAAATGGAAATGATATTCCTTCCTTATTTGTCTTACCTAGTATCTTATATTTGTTTCAGTAAAGCAAAGATGCACTTCTCCATGTTTTCTTTTTTAAAAGCATACAGTTGGTACAAACTTTTTAAACATTGTGGATATTTGGGGAGAAGCAAGTATCGTAACCATTTGGTGTCTTATATGCCTGCCTTGTTCTCTTTAGATTTCATAATCTAATAACCTAAAAAAGCTGAATAAAACTTCTTATCAACTCATTGATTGTCAAAATATATAAATGTATTTGATAGGAGATCAATCAAGTTTCCATAAACACCTGGAAAAATTTCAAATTCAGTTCCTTGTTTGTAACCAATCTGACAAACTGTGAACAGCTTTTACATTTCTGTAGTGAGATACATGTCCACAAATGATATTTTCCGGAAAACATGTAGTAGGTCACAAAATAAAAAAGAAGAAGTAATTCTTTAATCATTGTTTATGAAAAATATCAACACATGTAGTAATTCAAGTCCATACAAAATATATTAATTATTGAAAGGAACATATGGAGAGGGGCCTATGTACTTTTAAGAGAAGATAGAAGTAGAATGACAAGAATTAGGGTACAAAGGGTAACCATAACCCCAATAACCACAGTTAGAAATTGAGGTGAGGAAGAGGAAACAGGTGAGGAAGAGAAGAAATATTTTTTTCCTTTTCAGTGCTTTGCAAAATACAGGAACTATGAGAACATTTTCATCCTGGTGTATACTAGGCAAGCATCCTTTTGCAACAGCAGATGCCACAGATCCTTAGTCAATGATAATAATTTCCAGGACACACATTTAGAGGTTTCATTCCTTCAAGTAGATAAATAAATTTATATGTAGTTTTGTATGCAACAGCAGGCTTTAAATTTGGAAGCATGGAAAAAGCAATAAAGTTCACAGAATGGAAATTTATTTGAATAGTTAATATGAATTCAGCAGTATTTTGTTTGATAGAATAGTGGAGACAGAACTTTCTGATTTTTAAGTTTATTATGAGCAAAATAAATAATGCATTTCTCCATGTAGATGTTTTGTACAGAACGATTCTACATAGTTTTCCAAGACATTTTTTCCAATTTATCCAGTATTATGTATAGATTGTCTAAAATATTGGAGATTGTGTAATTTTTGTAGTAGCCAAGTGAGAAAATGAAATCTTTGTATTATTATCACGTTGATTCTACACTTAAAAGCTCCCATTGAAATCATTGGATCTAAGTTAGTCATAACCAATGTCTCATTGATTTAAATGTAACTAATCAGTAGGATGAAATCTGTAATCAATCAGAATGAATGAAACATGGTAGGCAATGAGGTACCAAATGTGCTTGAAATTACATTTCATGCATAAGTAATTGAAACATAAATATTCAAGCTATTAATTCCATACATTAGTATAATGAATACGGAACTGGAAGTTTTAAAGGATTCAGTAGAATGTGAATGGAAAAAGAGGATAAGCTAGCAGTATAAAGCCTTAATAAATTTGAATCATGGTACACTGAACACTCACGTGCCTGTTTAAATTGTGGAGATGATGCAGTTGTAGCTTTGCTTGCTAAAACCTCATTGTGGGGAGTTGCTAATAAGTCTAGAGTTAATGTCCAAAGCTGTAGGCAGGATACTGTATGTTATAAAGGTATAAACATACTGTAGGTCTGAAAAAGATTTAATGTGTAAGTCATTTATTTTGTCATCTCTGGCATAGAATATTTGTTTTCATAAGTTAAGAATTTGCTCTGTGCTATGTTCCCATTTGTATGCTTCTCTTTGTTGGAGTCAGAGAAAATGATATGGTTCATTGCAAACATATTCTGAAGCTTGAGACATTTTTGTTGTTGTTGCTAGGCCCTATGTATTCTTAATTAATTAAGACTGTTGGCAACTGTGATAGTTAAGAGTCCTCTTCTTGTTGCACTTGCAATGATGAACTGTAAATCTTAAAACATAATTAAAGTGGTTATTTCCAATGTTTTTAACCACTGGACATATGTATATTGATAACACAGAGAAGAGAAAGGAACTAAAACCTGTAAAAAACTGTGCCTGATTTAATTCCTTGTGACTTAGTTTTACAAATTGTCTTAGTTAAATTGGAATTTAGGAAGATGGAATAGACAGCAAAGCTAAATTAATCTGCTAAGAAATTCCATCCCTTGTTTAACTGGAAAAAAAAATGTATAAACCTCTGTCTTTAGAGCAGTGGTTAGTTGGTTACAAAGATGTTTTAGCTGACAATTTCTGATATTCAAGAACTACCAACGATCATACATCTTAAAAATGTAATAATATTTTAAACGTGTTAAAATATTAAGTAGAGCTCATTGAATAGTTTTTGCTTTTGTCTATTGTCTGTAACAGTATGTGACACATTTGTTAAAAGAGAACAACTTGTTCCTTGTTTTACAAGGTGACTTTGAGGTGTAACATTCCAATATGAATGGATGAACTTCAGGAGGTTAATGAGTAAGTGGGAAGAACATGATATATCATCAGCAGGGGAAAAAATTGAATGCTATGAGTATTTGAAAGTTATTATTTCTAAAGCATGCACTGTGTGCATTGGCTGTGAACACATGTGTGGTTATGCACAACTGAAAATCTTATTCATGTACAATTCAAATAAGTTTCATTCCAGAGAGGAAAAGGAATACAAAACATGTCTTTCAAATTATTTCTTGGTATGATACCAATGGGCTAATTTAAACTATGCATTTGCTTTCTAGTGGTTTGACAAAACCTATGTTGTGTAATTGCTTTGTATGACTCATAGTCAGTTTGAGAGAACATAAAATGGATATTTTAATGCTCAAAGGAGCTGATGTACGAGTGGGATATTCTATGCAATTATGCAACATATATTTGCATGTGTGTTCATAATGCAGGACAATTCAAGCTTAATTGTGAATCCTAGATTTACAAGGGGCCAGATTAAATATGTATGTGGACTTTACTAGTTAAAAGTGTGTTTGATGTTGTTTGAATCTTTGCCAAGACAATACTCTTCCCAGCAAATTATTCTACATCAGCTTACTTATAGAGGTGGCACTTATATCTAGAATACATAATTATGAGTTATGAAGTGCATAGTTTGCTTATTACATTTTCATATGCAAAAGCAATTCCATTATTAGAATATATAGGAAATAAAATCAATTTTCAACTTGTATTTAGTAGAGCTCAGCCAATCCATTATTTTGTCTTGCTGTTTTCACATTTCTCCTTCCCTTGATGATTTTTGGGACAGCCTTAAACACTGTTTATTCATATAGTCCAGTGGTTCTCAACCTGTGGGTCGGGACCCCATTTGGGGTTGAACGACCATTTCACGGGGGTCGCCAAACAAGGCTGTCTGCCATTTTTCCCCCTTTTCTTTGGCCACGCCCCTGGCACCCGGTGATGTATAAGTGGTTGGGGGTCACCACAACATGGGAAACTGTATTATGGGGTCGCGGCATTAGAAAGGTTGAGAACCACTGATATAGTCAGTCTATTCTCAATGTGTGATTGTTCTTTCTGCTTTTAGACACTGTACTTGTCCCCCCCCTTTCTTTCTTCATCTAAGATAACTTTTCTCTTCCACTTATTTGGCTTCAAATAATGTCATGTGTTAAATGTGATTGACTTCTTTGTAGTGTGATTTGGCTCTATTGTGACATTTTGAGAGTGTCAGATAAAAATATTTACTGGTTATTCTAGAAACTAGCAACTAAAAATTAGGTGGCAAAAATGGTTGCATGGAATGCAACCGTTGTTACTGCCAGAATCATGAATAGCCCCTTCTTCAATCCTATAAAAGCTTGCTTATGAATTTTGAATCTTAAATTTAAGCCTCAATCACCTCTAAACTTGTGTTTTTCATCATGCCTTAACAGGCTTAAAACTGCTTTACAACAATTGGTAGGTATTGTTGTTTGGTTAGGAGCTCAAAGCCTTGTGAACTGACTTGCCCAGGACTATACAAAACATTAGTCACGTGCAAACATTCATGTTTGAGGAAATTAGACCAGTGTTCAAAAACTAAAGGAGAACAAAGCAAATTTGGTAGTAGAGTCAGCTCTGCAATACTATGTCTAGTTCAAACTTAAAATCCTTGATACGAAGTCTAATTATGCTTTTTTCCTTCTTCCCTACTATTGGACATTTCCTTCATCTGACTGCATATTTAGAAGAAATGCATATTCCTACTCCTATTACTTGTAAGTACCTAGTTGGATATAACAATTTCCTTAAGCATGCACACCAGAGCAGCAGGATTTTGTTTCTTTGTTTATAAAATATTTTTCTTGATTTTTTTTGTATTATTTCACTATTTTTAATGAGTACTATTAATGCCATGCTATTAATACCCCCAACCACATATTTAAAGGGGACAAAAATAGAAGAACACAAGACAGTTGGTTCCATGTGCAAATATAATCCATACCCTTCTCACTCCATTTTTCCCCACTAGTCTTTGACTAGCAACTCTGTCTGATTAGGGCCAAAAAAAAATGAATACCGTAACAGGCAGGACTCTTTGTTACTCTTCCTCACGTTTCTGAAAATCAACACTGTGCATTAAGAAATCTTTATCTGGAAGCATTCTTGCTTTTTTATTTATTTATTTAATTTGCTATTTGGGCACCCTTTACTGAGAGTACAGATTGTGGGAAAGATAAACTTGAATATTTGCATATTCACAGTTCTAATCAAGATAGAACCATAAAATCCTTAAAAATATCTGCAGCCATGTGCTTCTGAAGCGATCCAATTAGAACTGTGATTCATGCCAGCACCTTGATTAAATATTGTTCCATTGGCCTTCCATTATTTGAGATAAAAAACAGATATTGATCATATAATTCCTTAGCATCTCAGATAAAGGTCTGCATCTATTAATAAGGCCAGAATTAAACATTTTTAACAGATCTAAATCTAAGGAAGTTGCATAATCTAAAAGAATGAAGTAAACACTTCTTCCACAGTATTCAGACTAGCTTTACATAGAATTCACATACAGGATATCATGTGCCATGTATGAATCAATTTTGAGAGTTCACTAAAAGTGCTTATTGTACTATTACTTCACTAAATTTTGTTTTCCAAGGTTTTAAAACATATCCTAGTATTTGAGTTCAATTATTTTTGGCTCTGCTAATCCTTAAATTATGCAGGATCTTTGATTTTCTTTTTCCCTCATCAAATGTTTATTTTTTGTTTTTAGAAAAGAGCCAAATGTGACTAGGCTGAAAATGAATCATGCATATGTTTGTTGAAGTTCATGTCTTTATTTCCAACTATTTATCTCTCTAAGAGCTATAATCTTGTTTTAGAATAACTTTTGCACTTAACAGGAAGTGCTATAATATTTTATATATTATTTTCTCTCAAAATAGAATTCATAGAAGTCATATGATTTTCTCAATTAATAAAAGGCAAGAACATTTATGTTCCTTTTTTTTCTTGCTCCTTAAATTAATTCTTTTGCTTCCTGAAATGTGATTATCCTTCTGGTTCAACCTTAGTATGTTTATAACATTAGGTTAATATTACTCTAATGAATGGATTAATATTCCCTATTAATAGGATAATATTAAGTTTTGTCTCCTATTCACAGAGGAAGGACAGAATGTATGAATATCATTTGGTGTAATATAACCATAGATTCAATCTTCCTGTTCTTCACAGTGTCTTTCCAGCAAACAGATTCTCTAGCTCAGCGGTGTGAAACTCAATGTCATTGAGGGCCGCGTTAGCATTGCAGTTGTCCTTGGGGGGGCAGGTGGGTGCAGCCTACTGGGTGGGTGTGGCCTACTGGGTGGGCGTGGTGGGAGTAGGTGTGGCCTACTGGGTGGGTGTGGCCAGCTCTACATTGTTCATGTCAATGGTGCCTGTGGGGGCCTGGGCAGGAGTGGGACAGATCTAAGGGTCTCTGGCAGAAGGGGATGGGACCAGGGCAAGTGCCAAGGCATGGTCCACTAGAGGAGCCTCACTATTCCTCTCAGGCCATGTGGGGAGGCTGGATGGTGGTGTGGGCTGCCCAGAGCCCTGGGCAGCAGAGGTCAAATGCCCAGCCTGGCCCTTGAGCACTTGTGGCACCAAGCCCAGCCCCACTTCCCCAAGGGGATACCCAGCTGCACTTACCTCCTCCTCAAAGTACTGCTGCTGTGCTTGCTCTCCTTAGCTAGGTTGTTTATGATGGGTACCAGGGCAAAGTCAGAGGGAGACTGAATGCGTTTCAGCATAGCTGGCCACCAGAAAATTGTACATTGGCTCCTGGCCTGGGCTAGGGCCAAGGCAGTGGGGCCCGTTCCCTCACTGTTTCCAGGATGGCTTTGTGGGCCACATTAAACCATTTTGCGGGCCGCATCCAGCCCCCAGGCCTTGTGTTTGACATGTCTGCTCTAGCTCAAGGGCACAAAAAATGAAGCCCATCATTACCTGTTTTGCAGTCCTTACTGTAGATTTGTTTATAAAAATACATAGTCATTTATATACTAGGTCTAGCTGCAGAAAGCATTAGAATTTCAGGGAGAGACAGTATTATTTCCAGTTCAAGTTTCCTTAAATGAGTCACTCAAGTGGTAGAAGTTGGAAATGGAAAACTGAGGGGGGAGTGAGTATGGGGTGATGATAATGATATTAAGTTGAATCACAACCTGATTAGGTTTTAAATCATCTTTTCATTCACAAAATGCTCATAAAAGCTAGTGTTTTTTTAAATACATGGAGCCTAAAGGTATATTTAACAGCTTCTGGATGGAGTATAGGTATTCTTGACTTATGACCACAATTGAGCCCAAAATTTATGTTGTTAAGTGAGACACTTGTTAAGTGAGTTTTGCCCCATTTTATGACCTTTCTTGCCACAGTTGTTCCCTGAATCACTACAGTTGATAAATTAGTAACCCTGTTGTTAAGCAAATCTGGCTTCCCCATTGATTTTGCTTGTCAGAAGGTCGCACATGATCTTGGGACACAGCAATTATCATAAATATGAACCAGTTGCCAAGCATCTGAAATTTGATCACATGATTATGGGGATGCTGCAAAGGTCATAACTGTGAAATATAATCATAAGTCACATTTTTCAGGGCCATTGTTATTTTGAATGGTTACTAAATGAACTGTTGTAAGTTGAGGACTACCTGTAGTGGTTTAGTCATCAGCTAGAAAGTGGGAGACCATAAGTTCACATCCTGCCTTAGGCATAAAGCCAGCTGGGTGACTCTGGACCAGTTACTTTCGCTCAGCCCTAGGAAGGAGGAAGTGGTAAATCACTTCTGAAAAACCTTGCCAAGAAAACTGCAAGGACTTGTCCAAACAGTCGCTGAGAATTGAACCTGATTGAACATAAGATATGATCCCTCTGCCTTTGCTCTGGTTATTGATGACCTGTGATGTTAAGTTTTGTATTTTGCTTTTCTAATAATGTAAAAATTAAATAGAAATTGTATAATAGAATAATATTGTGAAATAGTCCATCATCAAGGCAGTAACTAGTTTTAGATTGGCTTAAATTTATATTGTTGCAGCTTTAGATTTTTCTTTATGCTACTCTAGAAATTTCACATTATTTGCTATGGGGGGGTACTATTATTTCCTAAGGGGGAAAAAATCACTATGTTATAGGCTAGGTTTTAGTTTTATCTCTTTGACAGAATATTGTTGAACATTCTTTTGAATGTGCAAAATGAGAACTCAGGAATTATATGCAACCTTCTGCATGCTTAATATCATATATCAAAGGATATATTTGGTCTCCATTGCAATCTCATACATAAAGTAATAAAGTTGTTAAAAGAAGTGATTCAAATAGAATCATTTGGATAAATCTGTACCAACTATTTTGTGAAATGTCATCATTTACATGTTGAATCTGTCAAATATAGAAAATAAATAAAACATTGATTCTCCTTGCATTTTAAGAATATAATCCAGCAAGAATTGCTGTTATAGCATTTTATATGTTTTAAAGGTGCAGATAAATTTCTTAAGTCAAATCTTTGAAATGAATGGAAAGAAAACTGCACAACTGCAATAATTTTAGAAGCTTTGCATTTGGAAAAACGTATGAGTATGTAGAACCCTTATCATTAAATCACAAGGTTTCCTATTGACAGTCACTTGCTCTAGTACAATTTCAGCATACAGAGCTGAATTTCCTGCCTCTGTGATTTTGTGAACCTAGTATTGCCGTTATATAGCACTCTCTTCAGCTTGTCCTAATCATGTAAATTTTGGATGTTCAGCAGGAATTATTGCACATCTTTTTAAGGATTTAAATCTGATCTGGGTTTCTCTGTGAATACTTGTTCTTTCTTATTTATTTAGTTATTCTGCTGCTACCCTTCCTTTCGTCTGAAGGATTTTACATGTTACCTCAGTACTTTCCCTTTAAATAGATAGTGCCAGATCTAGATGGCTGATTTAAATATTCTACAATGCTTTAAAATGATCTCTGTTGGATTTCAAATCCTGTCTCCCAAGTCAAATACTGACGTGGCACCTACTATCTGATTCAAAGGTGAAATCAAAGTAGAGATTTGAACAGAATTTAAAGGTTTATCTCAGATGTTATGTAATTGTAGTCATTGAAAGTCTAGTGCTTATTAAGTGCTAAGAAGTTTCAGAGAAGCTCTGTTCTTTATTGTCTAAAAATCCTTTAAATATACTACATTCTAGCTCTACTGTTTGTCAACAAAATGCAACACATGTATGAAAACAGTAAACATAAGCATTTTTCTATAACATTTATCTCAACACACAATGGTTTCATTCTTTTCTGACAGTCATCTGAGAATTCTTTCTTCACCATTCACCTTGTAATTTGTGTAATGACCAAAACATAGGTATACACACACACACACACTGTCTGATAACTGGCAGGCAAAATTCTTCAGAATTTCACATTTGATAAGCCTATGATCTGTAAAGGATTGGCCCTAATGAGATGAAAGTCACTTTTCCTAGATGCTTCAGTTGTGTTTATGGTCAAGGAAGGGAACAGAAATTATCACTGATATAACTTGTCATGACTTTACAAATAGCATTTGAATTGCTTTCTTTGTGGAAGGTAAGCATTTCAGATAAATGCTTCTGTCACTCAAAAGACAGGTCAGCACACTGACAGGTCAGAACTCATATTCAATGTTTAATGTTATCTTTTTTTTCCCTTGATGCTTCTTACAATGGAAGAATGTAACTAGTGGAGTCC